AAGGCTGAGGCCCTTTTGTATGAGATACAGGGTGGCGTTAAAGATTGAACTCGAGAGCTAAATCAACCATCCCAAATGAGAGAATTCTCAAAGGAGAAGAGAGGTTGCAACAGTGAATGCCACTTTGGATAGGACAAACAGAGACCAATTAAACTTTGAGCAAAAGCCCACTAGACCAAATTGAAAGCATGCAGGGTTGTAGCCAACACTAAGGGAGGGGTTGTGAATAGAATATTTAACTGTCATGGATAAACAAACAAAGCAAAAGGTAAATGGATAAACTGGGATGCGTAGAAAGCATCTGATACATTAATACCAGTCATCAACATTCTAAGAGAGTGAGAAAACTGTCCATCTTGAACCAAGGAATGACTAAAGTTGGTTCAAGTGATAGATCTAAGAACATTTACCAACTTCCAGACCCTGAGAAAGAACCTGAATAACTCAGTAGTCTGAGAAAAAGGGGGCTCACAGGTGCTCAAAGTAGAAGAGCTTACTTCCCATCAGACCAGATGTGAGAAGTAGCTACAGAATCAAGTAGTCTCCAAGGTTTGTGACTGTCATTGTTGAGAGAGGGGGATATCAGTTATGGACAAGAGGAATTCACAAGGCTGTAGATGTTAAGGAACATGGTGGAGCTCCTGGTCCTAAGAAAAACTTAAACTAAAGAGAGCAGACACGATTTCTAAAAAGCTGCATCAGTTCAGTATTCCAATGTATAAGAAACACTTCCAAAAACTTCATCACAAACCAAGAATGCAATACAGTGGTCCCTGAGAGAAGATTGAGGGAGGTGAATGCCAGAATGTGAAGCAAAGTACATCTCAGAAACAAAAAAACAAAACAAAGTTAATAAGGATGAAACAGAATAGAAAAATCTAGACCAAGGTGGAAAACAGTTATGTGCAAGTTTCCTCAGTATAGCTAATAGATGTAATATAAAGTTTCCAAAAAAAGTGAGGCATGGACGGATAGGAAAGAAGGTGATTGAATAAAAAACAAAGACATGTAAGTGAAAAGTGAGAGAAAATGTGATCTCTAAGCTAGAAGAGACTGAAGTGATTGGATCTCATGCAACAAGGTACACCAAGATTCATGAAAAATGAAAAAAAAAAAGACATACCTGTGTAATCCCAGCATGGAAGGCCAAAGGTGGGATTATCCGATTCTCATCTGGAAGAGAGATCAGAAGCAAAAGTGGGTGTGGAAACAATTGGACAAATGTACAAATATGGAGCCATAGCAGTAGCATGTGCACACTAGCTCATTCTTGGCAAGGAACACTAACAGCACCAGAAGTGGCGAGAAAGGGTGGGAGGTTGTGCAGAGTGGTATCTATCTGAAAATACATTTTTAGGTAAGGAAGGTGTTAACATAAGAAACAATATTCTCCTCTCTCTTTCCACCACCAATATAAAAAATTCAACATTGAAAATGGTGGAAAGGGCCAGTGCAGAGAAATTAAAATATATGAATTGTTTTAGAAAACAAGTGTGACATTTATGAGTTGTGGGAGGGTAGCCCAGTGGGGCAGCACTTGTTGGGAGATTGTATCCATCTCAAGCAAGAAATATTTATCACCTAATAGAGATGTTAACGTAAAACAACGTTGTCAGGAGAATCTTTTTCTGGGTGCTAACATGTTGCTTAAGTGATCAAAATGGCAGATTGCTCAACCATCTATTATCTCATCTCACATGCTGACAGCTGAGCATAAGTGTGTAGTGTGGCTATAGCTACAAGTGGGGCTGCTCCATATTGGAGAAATAATTATGTGAAATACTCACCACAAAAATCAGGTGAAGGGAGTAGCATCACAAACCTGTGTTCTAAAGCAAACACAAGGTCCATCCAGCTAGACCCATCCACCAGAAATGGCTCAGTCCATAACACAGTGGGGTGTCCTTTACTACATTACCAGGTAACACCCCAGCCCTATTTCCAATATGAGAAGTACATCCATTCTGTTTGGAGATGGCTTGAATGGGTAATGAAGAAAAACTTAAATATAAGTTTAACATAACAGCAAATGTGCAACGTTTCAACAAGGTTTTGTCATCATCAGGTACAAGTAGTTTACACTGACACAGATATATATATATATATATATACAGTATAGAACAAAGAGGTCACATGACCAGATATTGTTGCATGACTCAGAAAAACTCTCCAACATTCACCACAACAAAACTCAACTCATGAACAAAATTGATACTAACAAACTCAACAACAGAACATTACACTGCAG